TTTCTATCCAAATTTTACTTGTACTGCTGGGTGATGTAGTAACGCAGGAATTCAATATTAATGATTAGGGACAAGCAGACAGAGAGGAGAAACTAATGGATTGCTAATATATACCCTGGCTTAGTTTGAAGAGGTGTCTTGGGGCTAATATAAAAAAAATGAAAACTTAAATTAGTCTATATAAGAAAGTTGTATAAGGCAGTAGAATATATTACCATCCAAAGTAGAGGGGGAGAAGCAAATATTTTTATTATGTATTAATTTAAAAATCTGTGAATCTTGATTCAAATTTTATAGCCCTTATGTCTCAGGTTTGTAACTTTACATCATTTCATTCTAAATTCTGACCTATGTAAGAGATCAGAGTTATTAATATTTCCTATTATTTCTACTCCTCAAACTTTATGACTGGATTTCTCCAAGGCATTCTTCATTCCCACTCTTATCTTCCTCTTCATTTTGAAAGTACCAGTTTAGGGAATTGGCTGAAAGATAGAAAAACAGACACATAAAAATTGTTTGACTGATGGTATTCATTGTAAAATATTTTTTTTTCCTGGAGGAGATATGAAGGTGAATCAGGAAATGGATGGCATTTTCAGATCACATGAATCAGTACCCAAGAATTCATCATTTTCACCAAATATTTAACTACTTTTAGGGACTTGAAGTTAGATGGTCCTTATTTAGAATTCATATTAACTTCTTTAACTGCCTTATCTGTCAGACTTTAATGGAAAAAAAGCAGCAATTACTAAAAGTCAGATCATAGATTTATAAATGTAAGTGCACACTTATTTATATACCTGTGTTGAAAATATCTTATGCATTCATAAAACCAAACCATTTTGTTTATAAAGAGCCTTAATAATAGAAATGCCATGAGAAATATTACTTTCTCTTTTGATCATAAATGGTAAAGGTAAACTCATCAGAAGAATATATAGTTCTCAAAAGCCAAGACTCTCACCTAGCTTTTCCTAATTCATAGATATTATGGAGACCACTCAGCTTAACCTTTAAATACAGAACATAATGTGAGACAGTAACTTAATGGAAAACAACAAAGTTTGTAACTATGGACATTTACTTCCCCATTATTTAAAAGAAGAATTGCAATGGTGTCTTTTGCTAAGGCAATTAAAATGATGCTCAGTCTGACCTTGCCCTGTGTCTCCCACTGGGCATACACAGCTACAGCCTTTCCTGGCCTGCTTTTTAACAGTGTACTTCTCTACCAGACCCATCTGAGGATGAGGATGGCAAACTTAAATCCTCTGGGTCATCTGCTTTCCTGTTATGAAGATGTCATTCCTATTTTTACACATAACAACATCAGTCCCTGGTATTTAAATATGGCAGATTTGTGATGATCCAGCCTTGCAAGATGTTGCTCAATGCAGGTGGGAATGCTAAGAGCTCACTCAACTCAAACGCAGCAGGGCAAACACTTTCCTGAATCTCAGTGGGAAAGAAGAAAGAAAGAGTAATGTGGAGCTGATGATTGGGTATTTCAACAGCGTTGTGTAAGTCAGGTAAATTCAAGACACCAGACTGCACAAACTCTCTCTTCTTAAGCATTGATTCAGGAAAGGATGATTGTTTGTATGCACCATTCTTCTGCCTGGTCTGCTCTGGAAAGGCTCTGGTCACCAGTAGGGTTTCTCCTTGGTAATAAATGATGTGGTTAGAAAACAAAAGTAGGCAATTAACTGTGAGACTTCAAAGATTTCCTCTGCCTGTTTTTCATGAATTAAACAAAAATTACTAATGTTTTCAATGGTCTGGAAAAAGTAACATGCAGTGGTAATAAAGACTTTGAACTCTGTGATCAAGAAGCAAGCAAAGTCCTTTCCCTATGATGGAAGTATAACTCAAGGTTCAGTTTTACTGAAGCTTACACCGTCTTCTTTTTCTATTTTTTTTCTTTTTAACCTGACTCAAGCTTTCAGTTTACTGTATCTAACTTTATTTTTCTAAATGGTGAAAGAGACGCTTATTATCCAAGGTGCTTTTGATGGGTAATGTGAAGACAGGCCTTCCCTTACACTGTGACTTTCCCACCTAAACAGATGGAAATCCACCCCCTTCCCTGCTTTCTAACACTCCTTACATCCTGCCACCACAGGAACGAGCTGAAATCTGGCTTCCCACCAAACTGGCCAAAAGCCTGAAGGTGCTGTGAAGCCTTTCCTCTTCCAACTGCAGTACCTTTACTGCTTCCACATGCTGCCATCCCTTAATATGCTGGGTCTGTTTTGTTGGAAGGAGAGATTAAAAATTACTAACAGTGAGATATATAACATCAGGAAAATACAAGGCAGAAGAGAAAGACGAGCTCCATACTGGAAGAAAAGCTGGATGTGATGGACTTGGTCTTCTTATTTTCCCTTCCCTAAATCAGATAGCAGAGCTTCTCCTGCTGCTTTCTCCCTTGCCCTTAGCATAATATTCCTGGATTATATTAGAATATCCTTATTTATTTTGGATATAGTAACACAATGAGGCTTAGCCTAGGATTGAGACACCACTGTGCAACTTGTGAAGAAACAAAAAACCCTCAGCGCCTACTTGCAAGGGTACATCTGGGGATTGCATCACCTAAAATTGCTGGGCTCACTCACTCAGCTCATGTGGTTTAACTCTGTAACTTAGACATAGCACAGAGTAACATATAATATTAAATATGTTACAGTTTTTAGCCTTAATTTCAAACATGATTAATCTCACAGGCAGTTTCAGACATCTTTGCTCTTGAGTTTTTAAAATGAAATTAAATAAAATTAAGCATTGACATCATGACTATTCTTCCATGAAACTGGTACAGAACTATAAAGCACTTAAATGCTCTGTGGGTGATATAGAGTCAATATGATTCCAGTGGAATTTTTCTGAGAAGGTGCTGTATGTCATTAACACAGTATGATATAAAGATATAAATGTGGTGAATTTTGTGACTTTTTTTTTTTTTTTTACTTATATGCCTATTGTTTCATAGCCAAACTGCAGAGGAATTTTTAGAGGCTTAAATGTACATCACTCATGGGGCTAGAATTTTGATAGGTTTTTTTTGCTGGCAGTTGGTTTTGGATACATGGTGCTTACTTTTCACAGATAAAGTAGGGATGTTTTATTTTTTTTACACAGCAGTTGGAAAAACAAATATATCTCCTCTTTAAAAAGAAAATCTAAATGTATTGTAATAGGTGGAGGTACATAAGAAGTGTAGGACTTGATCTGAAGATGTCTTAATAACACTCCAAAGAAGTTAACAGTGTAGGCATGTGAATCATCTTATATCTGCATTTACTTTGATGGCAATTTTTAGATGTAAAATGAATTCTTATATTTCTGTACAAGTATTTTCTGGATCAGAAGGAAATCACACGAGAAAGTGACCCCAGGCATTACAATAATTACAATAGTGCCTTCTTAAACACTATTGTTATAAATCAGGAAACATCCTTGAGTGTCAGGGTTACATGACTTTATGAAAAAAAAAAGTTTGGCCTTTAGTATTTGGGTTGAGTTTTTTTAATATCAAAAAATAATCAGAAAGAATGTTCCAAATTCCAGGACTTCATTTTAATGACAGTTTCAAACTTCTGTTAATGTTTCTACTTGAACAAGTTTCTTTTATATCCTAGCCAAAGTAAAATTGAGCTCGAAGTTTAAGGCAATTTGGATTTGGAACATTTGGCTTGCTGATAAGTTTTGATGCTAGCTGTTTTAATTAGCTAATTTTTATAAGATTACTCTAGCATGGATGAATTCCATGGTTTTGTTTGTGTTAATAAACTCTTACTGCTTTAAGTCTTCTAAATTGCTTGGTCTTGCTGCGAACAACAGAAGTCAGTTTCTATCGCAGTTTGTAGTAGAAATGAGCAAATGCTGTCATAAAAGAAAAAAACCCCAACTCTGATGGAATTAATTACAGTGCACACATGAACAGAAATAACCTCCTAGTTTAATACAGGTGAGCTGACAAAACACAGAGGCATGCGCCGGAAAGCCGGTGAGCGCGAAATGCGAACGCACGTACCTGGGGGAGATGCCTACGCTGCAGCCCCGCAGTGCCACGTCTCACTGTCCCGCGCACGCCCCGGGACCTTTATAGGGGACTCTCCCAGGGCCTGGAAATGAACTTTTGGGGCTGACACGTCGATCGTGCCATGGGGCGGGGGGGGGAGGGAGGGGACTGGAGGGGGCGGAGAGGGACTCGCCGGAGGCTCTTACGTGGCGGCAGAAATGTCAGTACCCCGCTCCCCGTCGCAGCGGGGCCGGAGCCACTGGTGCGGGGCTCCTGTTGCCTACGCGGTTCCTCGCCGGAGCCCGGAGGCCCGGGGCCGGGACACTGGGGCTGGCTGGCCGGCTGTGGCATGGCGTGAGAGGGGTGCGGAGAGCCGGGGGACGCGCAGCTTGGGAGCTCCCGGGGCGCTCCCGTGCCCCTTCCGTCCCGGGGCAGTCGCTGGCGCCCAGCCCTCCTTTGCCTCCTCTATCTGCTGCTCCCCGGTTTTGCTACATTGCCCCGGCCCCGGAGCCCAGCGGAGCTCCGGGCAGCGGCCGGGAACCCCTGCGGACCTGGCACCGGCGGCGCTGCCCGTGTACCACCACCTCCCCTCCCTCTTTCTGTCGCTCGCTGCAGCTCGCCAGGATTTTTTGTGCTTAGTTGTACTGGCGCTGAGGCGCCCTGCTCAGATCTGATGGAAAAGGAGCAGCCTCAGGTCATGTTTTTGTGAGCTGCGGTGATTAAGAATAAAAGGAAACAAAAATAAAAAAACCCAAACCCCAAGGACAAATATCTCAACCAGTTGCAACTTCTCAGCTGGCCCGGAGGGGGGAGCGCGGGGGAGGGCAGGGAGTAATGCGAGATCGCCCCAGCCCGGGGCAGCGCCGGCTGCGGGACGAGCCGAGCCGAGCCCAGCCGCGCACCGCATCGCCGGGGCCGGGCGGCCGTGGCTGCTCCGCCCCCGCGGCGGGGCGCTGGGTCCGGCCGCCGGGCGAGGCGCGCAGCTGCCGCGCCGCAAACTTGGTGCGAGCGAGCGGAGCGGGGCGGCTCGGCGGGGCTGCGGCCATGGCGGCGTGAGCGGGGAGCGGGCATCAGCGCGGCGGCGGAGCCCCCGCCCGCCCGCCCGCGGCGAGCAGCCCACGGCGCCTCCAGGTAACCCCTGCCGGCCCCTCTCCCCTCCTCGCCGCAGCGGCGCTTTGGGAGCGCCGCGGGCATTGCGCGTTCCCGGCCGCCCTGTCCGTGAACGGGGCCGCCTCCCCGGTCCTCCACCGGCTGCGCCCCGGTGTCCGCCGGGTGCCCCGGAGGGCTCGGAGGCCGGGCGGGCTGGGGTCCGGGCGGGAGCGGCGCAGGGTGCCGGCAGGGGGAGCCGGCAGCGAGGCGGAGCGCCGCTGCCGCTGGGCTCCGGTGCCGGGGAGCGCTGCCGGCGCTCGGAGCCCGTCTCGGGCATTGCCCGGCCCCACCCCCGAAAGTCCACCGAGCCTTTCAGAACGGGCGGTCGTTCTCCCCGTAGACGGAGCTGTTCTCTCGGGACCAGGAAAAACAGACGGACAGGGAGCCGGCATCTCCAGAGGGGCCGGAGCCCGAACCGCGGCTGCTCCGCGCAGCGGGACACCCGCGCCGCGCTTGCCCTCGGGGTCGCGCCCGCGGGAGCGCGTCCTCGCCCAGGAGAGTGAGGTGCGTTGCTGCCGCTGAGCCCCGGCTGCGGAGAGGCAGCCGCTGGCTCGGGAACGTTTCGGAAGGTTTTGTCACACTTCAGCAAGTGAAGTTTGCTCAGGCTCATTTTCTGGTGAGAGAAGTAGCGTGAAAGGCACCGTCAGTTGTCTGAGAAACGTGGGTCTTCAGTGGGATGTTCGTGTAGTACGATTTAAAACCCCGATGTGCTTTTATTCTCGCTGTTTTATTTAACTGCACCGTCTTCGGTCTGTGGCGTGACTGTATTTTGGCACTTTCTGAATTGGGGAGTTAAGAGTTTACCATTCCGCAACGATGCAGATGGAAACACCTCAGTCAATTGTATACATATATCGTTCTGTGAGGATTGTTTACCAGATGAATGGCAACTATTAGGGTTTGTTGTATCATTCCAGATGCTGAGTCTGCATTGTAGATTGACACAACGATAATCTGCCCGGGATTATTCCTGGGGGGCAGCTGGGGTGGGGGGAGCTGTCAGTGCATCTGCTCCTTCAGCAGACTGGACTATTGGCAGGAGAGGTCTGTGCATACAGGAACACGCAGCCTTGTGAAGATGGTTAGAATTTGCAAGATTATAGCTGTGACAAACATCCTGAAACTAAAACGTGGTGTTAAAGTTATAGTGATAGCATGTTCTGGGAGCCCTAAGGTAGTGCATCTGAAGGAAGTGCATCTTACTTTCTGAAAGCTGACTAACCACTCTCGGTTTGAATTTTGGTGTAAAAAGCCTGATGTGATGCTAGCCCAGCTATAGTGGTGTAGAGTAGATTTTTTTTCATAGTGGAAATTGCACTCAAATATTATTTCTAGGAGTTTGAGCATCTCCTGGTTGTTATATAAGGTAAAGTAAAGTTTGACTTAGAGTTGTTGAACTTGCTGATGTTATATATGTAACACATAGTCAATCAAAAGTGTACTGCTGCCTTGAAAGGCTGAGGTATGGCCTTGGCTACTTTGCTTAGTGGATTGAAAAATGTTGGTAAATTTCTGGATTTTGTGATGTGTTCCCACCTTCCTCTCCAGTAGGTACCAATAATATAACTTTATTACATTTACTAATGAATTAATGTCATTTTCTCATTTTAATGCTGAACAGCTGTGAGGATTCCTGCTGAGAGCAAAGGTTTTGCTCTGGAGTGTGGCAGTTTACTTCTGTGTTCGAGAGGTTCTTTTGAACAAAGTAGTGTAAACACTAGCTTCTTAGTTGTACTGCTTATTCCTTGGGATGTTGTTACAGATTTGTTTTGGTTGACAAAGCTGAAGGCATTAATATCTGAAGTGTCTCATTTCTTTTAATCTTTAACTAGTGCTGTTTTCATAAAATACTTACAGGTAGTAGGAGTGCCTGTGCACTTTGTAATGATCCATAAACATGGTTGTAGCAAGTTTGTTGTACTCATTTCCTGCTGGGCAGAGATGCAGAGGGTGGTTACTGTATTGCTGCTGTTTTCAGAAGAAAGAGTTGTGTGGTCGTTTGTTTTTCGCTTTCTTTTCCCCCAGCTACTTAGTGAAACCACGTGGATTCTGACTTCTGTTGATATAGTCTTGTACAAATACAGGATTTTCAATGAATGAAGTTCATTACTTTTCAGGGAGTAGCTGTACACTGCAATCTGTGAACTGCAGAAATACAACATGATTCTCCTGCAAATTTTGGCTCTTGTGTTAGAGGTTGCATGCAGGAATTCAGCCAAGGGAGCAGCTGAGCTCCTGGGGTGAGCAGGAGCAGAGAGACCCGTTTCTGCCCTCTGGTCTGCAACAGCTTTATCAGCAGTGTTGGCTGGGTCTGATTTCTGTGCTGCGGGACACGTAAGTGGATGGCTGATACTGCTATCAGTTGATAGTAGGTGTGTACTACCCGTACTATCTGTTGATAGTGGGGAGGAGGGTGTGTGAAATCTGATACTCTGCTACTTCACGTAAAGCAGTATCTAGTAATTGGTTAGTATGTTGTGATGATGGACTTCTGAATAGCAGTGAAATACGATTTAGCTTTAGATTTAACATCTGGTTTATAAAATTTTGATATGCTCTTGATGTTTGGTAATGTATGTTCTGAAGTTACTACGGCTCCTGAGATGATTTGCTATTGCTATGGCCATAATGATAGGAAGCAGCACTGAGGAGCTTCTCCTTTTCTGTAACATCATTTATGGAAATGTTTGATGGGCATTCTTGTTGATGCAGAGTTCTCCAAATTATTGTTAATCAGTCTGTTTCTCTTTATTGTCATCCTTTTATCCTCTCTGGCGTGTGTATGCATTCCAATTTGGAAACAGTGTTAAGTTACAGCCTGTATATTCGTTCACTCCTAACGTGTTTTGCAAAGCTGTAGCTCCTTCCAAAGAATGAGTTCTTGAGGTTTTTATATTTTTAAATTTTTTTTTTACTTTGTTATGATTTGTCAAACGCTATAAACATTTTTCAAACTGACCCTTTTGAGGTATGTTTGGCAGCTGTTGGTGGTAGGCTGGATTTAATTTGCAGGCTGCAGCATTGCAGCTGTGACCCGTGAAAGGCAGGTGGCACTCTGCTATCTGCAGTTCTTACAGACACCTGGGGAATGCCACGGCCCAAGCTGTGCACTTCAGGTATGGTTTGCTGTTAAATCTGTTGTTACTAAAATGGCAAATTGCTTTCAAAAAAAAAAAAAAAAAGGTTAGGTCTTTTATTTTAGTTCTCTTTATAAATGTGTCTTATGATTTATTTAGGAAATTTGCCAGTTTGCATCTAACTACAGCATATTTGCTTAACATTTATCAGGAAGGTAGCAAATGTAAACCAAGTTAATGATCTCCAAACTGCAGTCTAATTAGTGTCCTCTTGATTTTTTGCTGGAATGTATATTCCAAAGTATGAAGCACTCAAATCTTTTGTCATTTAGTGGATTTGTTCATGCATTTATTCTCAAATTTGTGTTTTCCCACGGATATTTTGATGCAATCCAATTGTCTGCTGTGTAGTATCAAATCTGTTTCCATACATAAATATATTAATAAAATTAATCTCTGTTTGGGGAGATTGATTTTGGAAGAAATTTCCTGGTGTCCCAGTACATATTAAAAAGTCAGGCAACTCAGAAAAGCTGATGTTTGTCAATGATAGTAGCAGAAGACTGGGGTTGATACTTAGTCTGCACTGAGGCCTTTGCAATTAAACTCTTGAGTTTAACTCAACTGTTGAAACTTATCTTTTCAAATATTATCATTTCTTTGCCAACAGTTTGAATGACTTGTTCAGAAAGTTTAAATGCTGTTAGTATGTTAGCTGTGCTATCGTTTCCAGACTTACCTTCAATTAGCTTATCTGTTACGAAATTTCTTGCATGATAGCCATATAATATGGCTTTTAAATCCTTTTCCATTTTTTTCTTTTTAAAATCAGGATATATCTTTGAGCTCCAGTATACCTTAGAATTGTTGGGTCTTAATATCTGACAGAACTGGTCAATCTTTTCATGTTTATCAATCTCAGTAGTAGAGATTAGTTTTATGTAGGGAAAGTTGATTGAGCAGCTCTGAATCTTTGGCATATAATATTCTGATTTTTAATCCCTTGCTAGATGAATAGCAACATGCATCCATTTTGCAGTATTTGTTAGTTTAGGAGAAACTCAGAGAAATTATAACTTTGAAAATACTGAAATGTAGCCTTTTGCTTTCCTCTCTCTGTAATACTGGGATACATTCTTAGGCATTATTAAATGCATGTGATGAACAAATTAGAGCACATGTGATGGCTGCAGGACTGGTTTATAATATGAATTGGATGTGCTGAAGAAATTGGCTGTACTGTGGATTGTACTGATTTTCCCACTTCTTTTCCCCACCTCTCTCCAAATTACAAAATTGAGCTGCTGTCTTTTGTGCTATTGTCCTTCTGAGAATTGCTAGTCTAGTTGGAAGCCCAGAATGCTATTGAAATGTGCTTTCTTGTTAGACTTAGGTTTAACTGGGAATCAGGAATGCAAAATATAAAGTTAACTATAAGGCTTCTGTCTGTAGTTAGGGAGAGAATATTGTAATAATTTGGGGCTGTGTTCTTCTGACCCACAGTAATCTTACTGCTGAATCAGTCATTTCTGTTGCTGGTGTACTCTACAGACAAAGGCATGAGAATAAGTATTTGTTTGTAGTTTTAAAAGTTATTAGGCAGTTGTTCTTCACTGTGTTTTCTTCAGCATACAGTCTCTTCAGTAATTCCTGTTGCCTTTTCCTTTCACTGTTTGCACATGTTCTTTCACTGTGCCATTTTAGTGACCTGCTTTCATTGGAAACCCATAAACATTTGCATTGGCAAATGTTTTGAAGGGCTCCCTGGGAGCATGGCTGAAATGACCTTCTTGTGGGAGAAAAAGTATGAGATGAAATAATTTCTGTTGACCTTGTCTGATAGTGAAATTGCCAAGCACTTCAGGAAAAACTCCTGGCTTTGCCAATTATAGGAATATAGGTTAT